ATGAACCAACGAGCGCGCCACATGATATTTTCCTGCAAAAATCAACCAACTACACGAACTTGTTAGTGACTGGTTAAATGCAAAAATGCAATAGAATGCGAGATGATTCGACTAATCTTAGAGCAAAATTTGGGGTATTACATATGTCATGAGACCAAGGCTGGTCATCTCAAACTCTTTTATAAGTTCACTTTTGAACTTTGAAATACACTTTCGGTTGCTGCTCACGAATAATAAGTCGTCTACATATAGACAAAGGATAATCACTCCTTCACTCATATCCGTCTTCACATACACTCCATGCTCGGATACACATTTTTTGAAGTCAACATCTTTTATAAAACCATACATTCTTTTATTCCAAACTCTTGAAGCATACTTCAAACCATATAGCGTTTTCTTCAATTTGTAGAACTTCAGCTACAGGTCTTTCACAACAAAACCTGGGGGTTGTCCTACATATACCCCCTCTTCAAGTTGTCTGTTGAAAAACATGGATTTGACGTTCATTTGGTAGATAGATCAATTGTGGTTATTTGCAATACCAACAACAAGCCTAATGGTTTCAATCCTAGCAACTGGTGCGAATACCTCTTCAAAGTCTATACCTCCTCTTTGTAAAAATCCCTTAGCTACCAATCGGGCCTTATGCTTGATTATCTCACTCTTGGAATTTGATTCACTTTGAACACCCACTTCACACCAATTGACTTTTTTCCTTTTGGTAGATCAACCAACTCCCAAGTACTATTCTTAATGGATTCCAGCTCCTCCTTCATAGCACAAATCCACTTTGGATCACTTAAGGCCTCTTCCTTATTAACAGGTTCAGATTCGGCCATAAGTGCAAAATGGAAGAAATCACCATCATCATTGACTTCGTTGTCTCGGAACAACTCATAATCTTAGAGTCTCTGAGGAAAATTCCTTTGCCTTGTTGACCTTCTAACATTCTCCTCATTTCGAGTTTCAACGAAAAGCTGTTTTGTATTCCCATTCTTTAGAATTGAAAATTTCAAACCTGTAACTGATTACATCTTTCTGGTAATTGGTTAACGTCTGCTGGTAACTAGTTACACCCTGCCGCACTTGCTTCAATTCATCGATTACGACATCCCTATTGATCACTATCCTCTTGTTTACAACATCAAAATCCTTTCAGTGGTAACCGGTTAACACAATAGGTTAATCAATTATAGCAACGAAAACATCACTTTTCTATTACTTGGATGAACTTCGGATCTTGTTGTATTTGGTTACCACCCCGTGTTAACCGATTACAACATTTAAATTACTTGAATCACTTTCAAGATATGTTAAATTTTAAAATTCAATTTTAAAAATGGAATTTTTATGCTTAAAATTATCAAATCAAAACCGATAATAAAATTTAAAATTAGTTATAGATATAATCGATTTTGAAAAATTAAATTTGATTATAACAATTGATTTTAATATTCGATTATAACAAATAGATTATTGATAGTATTTTACTAAATTGAACATTTTACAATGCAATGCCCAGGCTAAGAAAACAGAACTAAAACCATTTTTCCATTGAAGTGAAGTTTACATTTGGCGACTAAGTTCACTTAAATCCCACAATAAGAGACAGAAGAATACCTTGGATATGACTTCCAAATTCTTCTTTAACTAAGCAATAATATTAGTTAATTAATGTCAACACAAAAGCTTAGGTTTCAACAAACTAAGCTAGCTCAAGTTGTATGCAAATCCAAGAAATTCTCAGCTACTACTACTTATTATCCAAAGATATATAAAAAGATCAATTAACTAAAATCTAAGGTAATCAATCACCAACAAAATGGCACAAATTCCAATTATTACTATTTTAAGTTTTCTATGTCTTTGGATTTGGATGCAAACCACAAAGAGTGAGTACTTAATTGGAGTTGGAAGTTATGACATGACTGGTCCTGCTGCTGATGTGAACATGATGGGCTATGCCAGCATTGATCAGAACACAGCTGGTGTTCATTTCAGGCTAAGAGCTAGAACTTTCATTGTGGCTGACAATCTTCAAGGTCCTAGGTTTGTTTTTGTTAATCTAGATGCTGGAATGTCTTCTCAGCTTCTGACTATTAAGCTTCTTGAGAGACTTAAATTAAGGTAAAGTAAATTGAGCTAACAAAGTTTCTCTCAATAACATATATCCAATTTTTTGTCATGGTTGTTTTTTGAAGGTTTGGAAATTTGTATACTGAAGAAAATGTAGCAATCAGTGGGACTCATACACATGCTGGCCCTGGTGGTTATCTTCAATATGTGGTTTATTCTGTAACTTCTCTTGGTTTTGTGAAACAATCCTTTGATGCCATTGCTAATGCAGTAGAACAAAGCATTGTTCAAGCTCACAATAACCTCAAGCCCGGTTCCGTTTTTATAAACACAGGTTTAAGAAGTACTTTACTTGTTTTAGAATTCACCATTTAATCAATTCTTTCTTGCTTTCATGTGTTTGTTTGTTTGTTTGTTCACGTAGGGGATGTGAAGGAAGCGAGTATAAACCGGAGTCCGAGTGCGTATCTGCTAAACCCGGCAGAGGAGAGGTCGAGGTATCCCTCCAATGTTGACACAGAGATGACCCTTTTGAAGTTTGTGGATGGTGGAAGTGGCAAAAGTACAGGAGCATTCAGCTGGTTTGCGACACACGGGACCTCGATGAGCAAAAACAACAAGCTTATCAGTGGAGATAACAAGGGTGTTGCTGCTAGACTATTTGAAGATTGGTTTACTTCTCAAAATAGATCTTTATCCCCAAACACCAATTCCACAGAACCAGGCATGATCAAAATCTAATCAATATTTTGTTTCAACTAGTGTTATGGAGAGATTGATATAGAACTGTATATTATAGGAGCAGATATAGGAGAGCTAGTGAAGAAAGCGCGGTCTATTAAAGCCACGGGAGGAAAGGATTGCAACCGAAAAACAAGCCAAGCATCTAAGGTGAGGAAAAATGATGGATCCTTATTTGTTGGAGCATTTTGCCAATCAAATGTTGGAGATGTTTCACCAAATGTATTAGGAGCATTTTGCGCCGACAGTGGAAAACCATGTGATTTCAACCATTCTTCATGCAATGGAAATGACCTGCTTTGTGTAGGAAGGGGACCAGGGTAATGTAACGCGTCTCTCGACTCTAACAAATTAAGACGGTTATTTTTTATTGCTTGTAGAACAAGTTATATGCTTATAAGTTATAATTTTACATGGAGCAGGTACCCAGATGAAATATTAAGTACAAAGATCATCGGAGAAAGGCAATTCAAAAGTGCTGTGGAACTATTCGAGTCTGCTTCAGAGGAACTTACGGGGAAGATTGACTATCGCCATGTCTATCTGAATTTTACAGACATTGAAGTTGAATTGGACAGCAACAAGGTTGTTAAAACATGTCCTGCGGCTCTTGGTCCTGCTTTCGCAGCAGGCACGACCGATGGACCGGGTGTTTTTGGATTTCAACAAGGTGATACAGAAGTAAGTGTCCCTATAGCCATTCTGTGTCACAAATTTCTCAAGGATAACAAAGTTCACCAACTTATTTTGTCATGTGAACTATTAATTAACTACGAAGCATTTGTGCAGATTAGTCCATTTTGGAAGAATGTGAGAGATTTTCTAAAAAAACCAAGTCAATATCAAGTAGATTGTCAAAACCCAAAGCCGGTTTTGTTGAGCAGTGGAGAAATGTTCGATCCTTATCCTTGGGCGGTAAGTCTATAGTTAAGTAATTATCAGTTCTTTCTATAAACAAAACTTGCATAGCATTGTACTGACGAAAATAGTTTTTTTTTCCTCATGGATTTATATAGCCAGCAATTCTTCCAATTCAAATTCTGAGATTGGGAAAACTGATAATTCTTTCTGTACCAGGAGGTTTGTATTCTTACCGCTGTCACACTATTTCTATATTCGAAATGGATTCAGCGTGATTTTTACAATTGTTAAATACATAATATAAGAAAAGTCACATGCTCCAAGTCTCTAACCCTTTGAGTATTTACAGAATTCACAACAATGGCGGGTAGGAGGCTAAGGGAGGCGGTGAAGGAGACGTTAATATCCAACAGCGATGGAGAATTCAATAATGAAACACATGTCGTGATTGCAGGATTGACAAATACTTACTCCCAATACATTGCAACTTTTGAAGAATATTATCAGCAACGATATGAGGTAAGGCCAAACAGAAGAGGATACGAAATTACTATAGTGTAAACTTATTGGAAATCCATATTTTACGGAAACAATTGGCTTTGAAGAAGATTTATCCTTTTTATTGCGAATAACTAATATAAATGTGCAGGCTGCGTCTACACTGTACGGTCCTCACACATTATCAGCATACATCCAAGAATTCAAGAAACTAGCACAAGCAATGGCTAAAGGCGAAAAAATCAATGGAAATGGTCCTTCCCCACCAGATCTTTTATCAGTTCAAAAAAGCTTTTTACTTGATCCCTTTGGAGACTCAACTCCAGTCGGAATCAAACTCGGTGACATGAAAGAAGATATAGCCTTTCCACAAAGCGGCTATTTTACTAAGGGAGATAAACCAAGTGCTACATTCTGGAGCGCCAATCCAAGATACGATCTTCTAACAGAAGGCACATTTGCTTCAGTGGAAAGGCTTCAAGAGGAAAGATGGATTTCTGTTCACGATGACGATGATTTAAGTTTGTTATTCAAGTGGAAAGTGGACAATAGTTCCTTTCATGGTTTAGCTACCATAGAATGGGAAATACCAAAAGATGCTATTTCTGGAGTATACAGACTAAAACACTTTGGAGCATCAAAGACCACTATAGCCTCCCCGACTAATTACTTTACTGGTGCTTCAAATGCATTTGCAGTGCAATAGAATAGCATCTTTTTTTTTGTTGAATGTTCTAATAAAATACAAACGAAAACAGAAATATCCAATATTGTTATTATTGCATACAATGATTCAAGGACTCGGATACATAAGAGTTTACTCATTTGTCCATCCAAATCACGCATCGAAGACATTCTCCATTTCTCAATAAATCAAAAGCTTCATTGATGTCCTTAAACTGCACTTCATGAGTGACAAATTCATCCAACTGAAGTTCCTGTTTATAAACGACGCAAAACTCAACAGGCTTGAAATGTCCTTATCGTTACTATTTTCATACAATTATTACTATTATGTATCATAAGAATGCTAGAAACAGTGCCAAGAACATAAAAATAGTCAAAGAGTGTGATGCTAGCATTTGTTATGAAATATATCATAGTAAATGGTACAAAGGACATAGTCCAAAAATGAATTGAAAGAGATTGGACACAGTACCTTGTCCATGTATCGCTTGAGTAGAATGGAAACATGAGACTTAGGTTTGAGTCCTCCAAATAAGTTTCCCTGAAGGGTCTTCCCATTATGAAGAACCTCGCTAGAACTAAGGCTCAACTTGGATCCAGGTTTATCCAATCCTAAGACAATTGTTTTTCCCCAACCCTGAAAATAAAACATTAGTTTTCAACTATTACATGCTTTTGAGAATGTTAAGTGTCAAAAACTGAGAAGGTGACATGTACCTTTCTGCAAGAAGCATATGCTTCATGCACTAATGACGCCATACCGACACATTCAAAGCAATAATCTGCTCCCCCATCAGTCATCTCTATGATGATCTGCTCAGCAGCCACTTTCAGATTTAGTTTGGCAGACAATTAGTGAAGTCATTGAGTTCATGAATACGTTTAAAATTTTTTGAAGTTTCTTATAATCTTTAACTTCATTCTAAAGAAAATATCATATCTACATGCTTTGGAACACGAGAGAGGAATTTAAAGACTCATAGTAAGAAAAAAACTAGAAACTAAGCTTTTAAGAGACTAGACCTGGCTCACAGGTTTGTTCATACATTCTCCAGTATGGACAAAGTCCGTGACCCCAAATTTTTTACCTGATTGAATAAGAACAAACACATGAAATCAGATTCTGAGTTCTTGCATAGTAATAACAATAAAGGAAATCAAACAGAAAATATATGATTGAACTGGAACAGATGTGTTATTCTAGTATCCGGAGTTAAAAATATATATATTTGATATGATTTGATTTGATTTAATGGTTGATAATGATATGAAGTTATAAAAAAAAACATTGCATACCAACTTCAAATTTTTCTGGGTTGACATCTACACCTATAATCTTAGTTGCTCCACAAAGTCTAGCTCCCTCAGCAACCTAGGAAACAAATCAATTGTGCTATGAGTATTTCGATAGACACATCCATCTCGAAGAAGATTTGAATACGTCCGTTGAGGTTACAATGTGAAACTATTACTGCTAAGTTAGCAACTCAACACGCAAATAACCATAAAGTCAAACAAAAAAGAACCGTGTTTGAGAACTTCATACCGCTAGTCCAATAGATCCCATCCCAAAAATAGCTACTGTAGACCCTGGCTCCACAGCTGCAGTTCTCCAAGAAGCACCTATTCCTACAAATGGAATTTCAAACAAGATTTCTAAAAACATTGAATTAGATGAATATTATTAACTTGTAACGCAAGCAACCTTACGTTTATTCTTGACCATAATTTACAATGAAAACTTTTCATTTCTATTTTGTTGTTAGTGTTTGCTGTGTCGAGGAAATTACCTGCTCCTATACCACAACTAAGAAGGCACGCCCTTTCGGGAGGAACTTCTCGGTCAATTTTTGTTACATTGGCAATGTCAACCACGGTGTACTCGCTAAAACTTGAAACATTCATGAAATGATATATGATCTCTCCATTTGAGTCGGTGAATCTAGAAGTACCGTGTCTAGGCATCCATGGAGACACCTTGAAAGGGAAATTAGTACAGAGGTTGCTCTTGGTTGATTTGCAATCTATACACTCTCCACAATCTGGTAGGAAAATTGGAACAACAACATCTCCTTTTGTAACTTCAGTTACATCCTTCCCTACACTTTCCACAACCCTATGTCACATAAAAATTAGTTGAAATACATCAGCTCCGTTTGATTGCGTAGAAGAGATTAATTGAAGAAACATAAATAGTCACAAACTTAAATCATAAATGCAGAAAGTAGAAACTCACCCAGCAGCCTCATGACCAAGAATTCTCGGGAAAATGCCCGGAGCTTCCTTCATGTTGGAAAAAGCGAGATCAATATGGCAAAGAGAGGAACATAGAACACGAATCCGAACCTCACGAGACATTGGTGGCGCCACGATGATCTCTTCAATCACCAATGGCTCACCAGGTCTTCTTACAACCGCCGCTACACAGCATTGCAGTGATCAAAACAGAAGAACAGAAAAAAGAAATGGAACAAGAAATTAACAAATGCAGCATGAAGTAAGTATACCTTTACATCTTATAGGTTGGCCTTCTCCTTCAATTGGTGGTTTATGTTCTTTCATGGTGAAGTGGTTTGTCTCACTGGCTCTGAAATGCGAGAGTGGTAGTTGTATATGAATTCACACACTCTTCGTGTAGCATGTGATAAAATGGGGCCTTTCTCATTCATTCAATAATTAGAGTGGCTGAAGAAGCTAAAATATCTATACCGACAAATTAGAGAATAAGAATCACGTGTTACTAGTTTACAATTCAGTTTCTTTTCAAGTGGTAAATTTTAAATGGAATTTCTTAATACCTGAATTTCTATAGCACTGAAAATATAAAAATATTTTAAAATTTTAGAGATTCAGTTCCTTTTCAAGTGGTCATTAATGACCGGTAAATTAGCAAGTGTACTAATTGTACCGATGTAGTAATAAGGGGAAATTCCTCGAATATCGATCTCGCGGACTGCGTATGAACACAAGTTCTAAAATAATACAATTGAACAAAAAGTCATAAGAGTTTTGGTTTGTTTCTTACCATTTTAAAGGCCAAAAGGCAAAAGCAAGAAAATAAAGGTTTTAGACAGTTATGAGAAGTAGAGTAGGTGTATGAAAAAATCTTGTAATAAACTTAATCCTTATTTTTCAGAAATCACTGCTCAATTCAATCGTTACCGGTTTTAAAGATTAGTTGACTCTAATTCCTTAATAGAAAACCCCTTCCTATGCCCAAATTCTTTGGCGGTATAGGAACAATCTCAAGCAATATATTTTATCTAAACCCCATTCCTAGGCAATTTCTACTGTAGTATTATCGTATAAACGCGTTAACCATCGTTTTTCCAAACCTAAGGTCAACCGTAAAACACATCCTTATTTGTCAAATAAGAAAAGCCATAAGAAAATTATACAATAACAACGATGATTAGAAAGTAGTGAAATCCATTATTCAAAGGAAACAAGGTTATTACAGAGTCAATTCAGGAACACCCCCTAGCATTGGGGGGTTTAGCTACTCATAATAATAAAGATAAAATTAACAATAAGACTAAACATTACAAGATAATTCGTGTTCTATGTTCCCAAATCCTTGATCGCTCCAATCTTTCTCGTCCAATTTATTTTCCGTTTAAAAGTTCAATCCTTATTCTTTCTCCAAACACGTATCAAATAGTCTCAATTCAAACTCATCACTAGAGAAATACCCATAATACCCTGCAACACGGGCCGTGTCAGGCAACACGAGCGCCCGTGTTGCCTTCCTGAAAGATTTTTCGCGTGAAATTTGCAAGTCCCAGGTGTCACAACACGGGCCGTGTCACACAACACGGACACCCGTGTTGTGCCACTGTTTTTTCTCCAAAAATCACCTTTTCTGAGGACATCCAGCAACACGGGCCGTGTCACACAACACGGGCACCCGTGTTGCACCCCTGTTTCGAATCTGACTTTGACTCTAACACGAAAGTCGTAACTCTCTCTCTTAACTTTCCGGCGGTTTTTAGAACGCCTCAAAAGGATTCCCGGAACTCCAGTTATGATCGTTTTCGTGCAGACCGCTAAAGATTTCACAACAAAACTCTTCCGAAATCCTGCCATTTTTTCCCAGTTTTCGCTCTGCTTCTCCTTTATTGTATAGCTGAACCTAGAAACAGTGAAAATACCAAATCGACGCGTAAAATGTAATAAAAACAACTAAAATACGACAAGACAAAACAAATGATTAACTGAAATAAACGGTAAAATAACGTGTAAAAACCACCGATCAATTAACTTGAAGAAACCGAAAGTCTCATCAATAGAAATTTTGCAAGCTAAATTTAATAACCTAAGAGAGATTTTGAGAAGTTGATCTTAAGAACACAAATTCAATTTTTTATGAGTATCACACCCTTGAAAATAATATAGTGCCAACACTAATGTGAAATGAAGTTAGCTGAAGCCCCCTTTTATATAAAATTTTTTTGGCTCAAAATAGAAACAATCCATAAGTCAAAGATTGTCATAATTGATTATAGACTCGATTAGACGTCATCTAATTGTATGTGCATGCGTGCGCACGTACATGTGTTCTTACTATCTTAGGAGTAACGAATCATTGATATGTCAAAAACTCTACCAAATTGTATCCGATACGTACCGATACATATCAAAGGACTATTCAAATTTATTTTATTTAAAAATAAATTAAAATTTTTTAATACGGTGGCGATATGAATCCAATACTCCACATATACGTGATTTTATTTTTTCTAACCGATTTTTTTTAATGACCCTTTATTCACCTTTTTAAATGACCCTTCGTTTCTAGTAATTGTCTTTAATATCCTAATTAATTATTTACTTATAATTACCATTTTTGAAAATTGGTTTGATTTCTCAAACTTCTTATCATTATTAATATTTAAAATTTCATTTATATTAATTATTACTTATTAATATTGTTTATAATAAAATATTTTTATTTAAAATAATACTTTGCTTGCCACATTTCTTTCATTTTCTCTCTATCTTATGAACTAAATTTAAAAGTCGATCTATTTACTTCCGATTTAATTAAATATTTAATTATAATTTTAATACATGTATCTTAAACATAGCGTATATAGTATGTTTTATTAGTGACGTATCACCGTATCAAACATGTATTGTATCCGATACTCTTATCGTATCCGTGCTTCATTGTTTAGGAGTTACTCTCATACTTTCACAATATTCTGATCACTCAAATAAACACGATCAGACGAGCTTTCACATTTCCTCTCTTTCATAACTCTAAAGCTTTCAAGATCCTTTTTCATATATACCGATGACATAAACCCTTCACTAGAACCTTGAATCTTCTACTTGATGAGACTTTCGGTTTCTTCAAGTTAATCACCATCATCAAAGAGTTGGAAAGATATCACAATTGATTTCAACTTCATCAGCATTGTCGTTATCAAAATATCAAGAAGGTTGTCAGTATCAGGATCATCAGCTTCATACCTGCAAGCACATAGATCCACACTTATCAAATGCCTCAAGAGCAATACAGACTTATTAAATATTTCCCCCAATGAGAAGTTAGAAATTGATCCCAATGTGGCGTCCCGTCAGCTGAATATCTACCTTTCTGTCAGATATGTCACCTAGAGAAGACGACGACAATCACTAGAGAAAGCTCAAAACACCATTAACAATGTTGATGCACCATTTTAGGAAAACTTCATTTTTGTGTTTAAGTTTACAAAATGTTGTCCAACGTGGTATTAATCATGAAGGCATTTGGAAAATGGTGCATGTGTGTTGATTACACTTACCTCAACAAAGCTTTTCCACTGGATTCTTACCATCTCCCCAACATTGACAAATTGGTGGGAAACTCGGCAGAGTGCAAGCTCTTGTCATTCATTGAGACCTATTTTTGGTATGATCAAATTTCAATGCACGTGAAGGATCGAGACAAGATAGATTTCATGACGGAGAACATCAATTACAAATATAATGTAATTCCCTTTTGTTTGAAAAAAAAAGGTACAACATACCAGATAATGATGAATAAAATCTTTGAGAAAGAGATTGACGACATGTTTAACGTGTACATTGACGATATGATAATTAAGTCTGGAGAGGACATGCTTCATGAAATTCATCTCACCATTGTATTAAACAACATCCGCCAATACAACATGACTCTATTTCCAAAAAAACACACCTTTGGGGTCAAGACCAAAACATTGATGAGATTCTACCTTTAAAAGAGGGGAAATTAAAGTCAATCTAGATAAATATGATACAATTATTAAGATGTAGAATTCATCCACGAATAAGAGAACAATGAAGCTAGATGAGATTCACATCATCCTTAACATGTTTAGTTCAAGATCTTACCAACACACATTTTTGTTCTATAGTCTCCTACGAGAAAACCTTTACCACAACTAAAACTGGCCTGGTCCAAACCCTTGATCTTGTCCAAACCCATGGCCAGGGAGATGTTGTTCATTTATCTAGCAAAGTCAGCGAAAGTAGTAAGTGTCATCCAATATATTTTGTCTCCAAGGCACTAACAAGTCCTGAAAGCCACCACCTAAAGATTAAAAAAATTGTTCTTACTCTAGTTGTAACTTCAAGAAAACTGTGATGCTATATTTTAGCACTGTTGTTCCTTTTGGATTGGTTACATTTTGAAAAACAACAATATTGAGGAGTGTTTAAAGTGTTCAAGATTAATTTATCTTGCTTAAGATGTATGGAGGTGCAGAGGGGACACATACTAGACGCGATGTCACATCATGTTGGTACGACATCTGGGTCTTGCGCAACAGGTCATTGCTACTGTGTTTTGCAAGATTTCTGGTCAAAGATTAGATAAAAGTTTATTTCTAATTGGTTTAAAAATATGATTTGGTGGTTTATTTAATAGTTGGATGAAAGTTGATTCAAATTTAAATGAAGATTTAAATTTGAATTTAAATTAAAACAAATCATATCTTGTTAGAGAGATTTACGGAACATATAATATCAAACAGGCTCTGCATTAATTCTGGACGAAATTAAAGCTAATATCCAAGAAGAAAATCTCAGGGTTATTATGCTATATAAGGATCTCAAACCTACATTAGAAAGAAAAAGTTCATATTGAAGATTTTAGTTTGCTAAGAGGGGACGACAAGGACAGAAGAGTCGCCACCGTTCGTTATTTATCCCAAAGAAAGGGAAAGGAAACGATCAGAGAAAACCTACGAAAAAGGAAAAAGACAGGTCATCGCAACCAAATCTCTGGTTCGGGAGTCGATTACGCAAGGGGAAGGTATGAGCACCCCTCACGTCTGTTGTACTCAACGGGATCCACGCTTGTTATCTAAATCTATGGGGTGTTACACTATCAAAGAATTGGTTTATAGGGACAAAAGAAAAGAAAAGAGACTCGATAGAGCATCACCGCTCTATGCTTACGTATTCCCTCGTGCAATGGGAAAGTCAGAGTCAACGTAGTTCGGGAAACTACGGGGGGAGGTTGCTCGCCAAGACATTGCGTCTTGTGCCTACGTATTCTCGTCTAGTATGAGAAATCAGAGCAAACGTAGTTC